GGTGGAGGGTGATATTGAGCTGCTTCCTTTGATCATTCAGTGAAATATGGACAGGAGTGTTGGTTTACAAAACTACCTCCAGTGTTGTCCTTTGAACTCTCTAGATTTGAGTTCAATAAATCCCTTGGCCAGCCAGAAAAAAGTTTACAATAAGCTGGAATTTTCTCAGATTATTTATATGGACAGGTACATGTACAGAAACAAAAAGCTTGTTTGAAGTAAGAGAGAGTGTATTCAGAAGTTGAAGGAGGAACTAAAAGTCCTACAGCAAAAACTGGAAAGATATATAAAGTACAACTTGGACCCAGCTTGGTTCCCACTCCCAGACATGTTGACATCTCAGTGTGACACAAGCATGACATTACCACTTTCTTCAGTGGTAAGTAAAGAAAGCTCTTTTCAGGGTGTTGAAAGTATCTTTTCTGAAGATTGTCTACACAAGTTTACAACAATGGATAAACCCCTTACGTTTTCTTGGCCTTCTATGGAAATGTCTGCACACCCAGCTCCTTGAACAGTCACAGGTGAAGAGATAACCTTTGTTAAGACCTGTCTTCAGAGGCAGAGGAGTGAGACTGAACAAGATATACAAGATTTAAAGAATTACATTGCAAGCACTACCCAGACTATTAAACAGATGTACTGTAATCCTCTCCTTAGTAAGGTGTCTTATCACTTGCATGCAGTTCTTGATCATGAAGGACAAGGAAATGCTGGACACTACTGGATCTATATTTATAATCAACCCCTACAAGTCTGGCTCAAGTACAATGACTTCTCTGCTACCAAATCTTCCTGGAAAGAACTTGAAAGAGATTCCTATGGAGGCTTGGGAAATGTTAGTGCTTACTGTCTAATGTACTCATACATTAATGACAAGCTACCCTACTTCTATGCAGAGACAGTCCCAAGTGAATCAGATCAGATGCTAGAACTGGAAGCCTTACCTGCTGAACTTAAGCATTACATTCAGGAAGATAACTGGAGATTTGAACAGGAAGTAGAGGAGTGGGAAGAAGAGCAGCCTTGTAAGATCCCTCAAATCTTTGGTGGATCCTCCACCAATTCAACATCAGAAGAGCCTTCAGCAGTCTCTTCTCATGGAGTTTGCTGCTTGTCATCTGTGCATGCTGTGATTGTCAAGGATCATACTGTCCAGGCCACTGCAAACACAACACATGCCTATAGGAAGAGTGGTGTGGAAGCAGTCTGGAATGAGGCATTTCACGAGAAATACTCCAGGCTCTATTAGCAAGGAATGGGACCTAAGAGCCTGTGTTTTAAGAAGTTAGAGACAGTGTGGGGATTTTCAAGGTTTTTATGTATTAGTATATTTTTGCTAGACCCTTAACAGTATTTCCAATTCATCCACTTCCTTACTTAAACCTGAGAAAAGGAATCATGTCACCTCATGTTCATTGGTTGTTCTTATATTCCTATATTATTTTCAAACTAAAGAAATTGAAATGTTTGGCAAAAAAAGAAAAAGGTAAAGTATGTTTTACATAGGAGAATGTGTTTGCAGATTTCAGGACTTCTAGTTGACAGATACTGAGTTAGAGTGTGGTCCTTTACATAATTAAGAAAGACAAGGACTGAAAGTGAGTTATGGTTATTCCCGAGCGAGTAAGAGGGTCTCTGAAGGTTGAAGAAAGTGTGTAGAAAGTTTTAAGGCATGTAGAAAGCTGAAAAAAGGTTTGAAAAGGTTGTAGAAGCCATAGAAGGGTGTGGAAGTTTTTATTTTTATTTTTGAAAGGAAGAAAAGCTCAGTGCATAGGTTTAGTTATTTAGGTTTTGTTTTGTGCCTTGCTTTCTGGTCTTTTGGGGATTTGGGGAACTTTGCTGTTTTGTGTATATTAGGGATCCTCTGTCTCTGCTACTGGGGCCTTGTGCCATTGTTGCTGATTAGAGTCTGGATAAGGTGAGATGTCATACCTCTGGCAGGAGACCAGTGGTCACACTGGTAGGACAGACAGCTCCTCTACTATTAGGGCTTTGTGCCATTGGTGTGCATAGAATCTGGCTGAGGTAAGAACATATCTCTGCTGTTTGGAGATTCGTGCTATTTAGACCTAGGAAAGGTCATCTGGTGCCAGTCAGGGCCAACTGGAGGGAGAGAATGTCTCTACCATTGGGGCTTTGTGCCATTTGGGACCTGGGAAAGGCCATCTGTGTGACTGGTTGGTGGGAGACAAGGTTCTAAGGCTGGTTGAAGTCCCCCTTTACCATTTTTTCTTTTTTTAGAACTCTGCCTTTGCTTTAGATTTTTGTTTTATTTCTCTTTTAGGAAGAAACTGAGTTTCCTAAGGGTTAAAACTTCACATTAGGTTAGGAAATAAAATAATGAAATACTCAAGGCATGGAAATGCAGTTTTGGTGGATATTGAAAGGACAAGGATTTCTCTTTTTGCTTTGTATTTTTCTCCATGCTTGCTCCTCTAGAATTGGGCATTCATAATGAGAAAGTAATGATATAAAATTTCCTTTGCATGAAACCAATAACACCAGTTTCAAACTATGGTTTTTAATAACCAAGATTCTGACTGGAATGTCATGCCTAAAGGAGTCAAGCCTGGTCTCTGGTTGTTACCAGAAGGCCTTGAGGAACTAAGACTGACTTTGGAAACTAATGAAAACCCACTGGAGAAATGGGTTGGTATGGTACCTTGTTCGGTCACATGGCTCATGGCAGTCTTTCCAGGGAAGGAACAAAGGTTGCTTTCCTGAAAAAGGGCAAGGAGGAATCTTAAGACGTGAGGGGAACCTTAAAGACTTGAGGAATATAGGTACTGCAGGCAAAGCTGATAGCATGTGTGGGGCTTGGCTTCTGTGCCCTTAAGGGTTGGCTAAGGCTCAGTCTTATGTTTCCTTGTGTAAGTTCCAGTAAAACATACTTAAAAAGCTTATGTGTTCAATTGCTGCTCTTGTTTTTATGCAAACAATAAGACAAATTTGAAGACAGTCTCTTTGAGGACAATGAGGGTGATCTTAGGGTCAGGATGCAGGTTTTAAGGAAAATCACAATGCTTAGTTGTGAACATTGGACTCTAGTGCAGTTGTTTGCAAAGTTGGTTTTCACCTCAGAGTTGAACTGATGTTACTTGATGCTATCTAATCATCTCTGCTTAGTATCTTTCCAGCAAAGATCTTGCACATGAAAGGGAGTGCCCATCAAGACAGTCTTGCAGAATCAGAAATGGTGCACTAGAAAAGCCCACCTGCACCACTGCCTCCTGGGACTCAAGAGTTTGAACTAAATGGTTGAGTTGGTGAAGTACATGGCAGCCAATTAGCTTCACATTAACACTGCCTTAATAGTTTGGACAGAAAGGGTCCAGAAGTGTTAAAAGTGCGTGTGTGTCGGGGGGGGTGGGGTGGGGGTATCTCAGGATATTCTCCTTAGCCTAATTTCGGTATAGTAGGCAATACGGCTTCAGACATGTGATACACCTTCTTCCAAGGAAGCCACTTTTTCTTGAGGACTCTAGAATTAGCCCCTACCTTTGTCATTTAGTTGTTATGGTTTTGATTGTGCCTCCTAACCCTTTTGCCAAACTTGTTGCTTTCAGAATATGATAAGGATGCCAACTTGTCCAGTAATGCCATCCTTTAAACATCACACATACCCTTTTCCAAGAACAACCAACTGACCTAGACTTTGCGAGATCCTTCTCACTCACATGAAGATTCTCCTCCACTCCAAACCTCCTTTTGTTAGGGGCCTCTGGACCATGGGATAGGTAGGACTATGCCTCTTGGTCAATAGGAAGTAGTTACAGTACAAGACCTTCATCCATCTGCCCTTGTAAGATTACAAGTGTCCGGACTGTTAAAGGGGGGAATTTTAAGGGGGAGGGATCACCCAGAAATGGAGAGGGGTGAAGTGCTGAAGCTGGCACATGCATGCATAGCCCTGGCAACCAGAATGACACATGCATCACACAGCAGAAAGGTGCATAGGGCTGGTGCCAAAAGCTAGGGAAGTGATTTGATGGAACATACTCCCATCTACTGCCACTGCACAGGGGATTACAGGGTGGAGGTGTCTTTAAAAGCGGAGTGTGTGGAAATGCCGTGTGCTTTTGCTCCCCCTCCCCTGGCTGGTGGTTCTGTGGCTGGGAGCTGAGGCTGCTGAACTAGTGGGCCTTGCCAGGACTCCTCATGCCCTTGTCTGAGCGCCCCAGGACCTGCCTGGCCAAAGTGCAGCAGGTTCTGATAAGAGGGCAGGGGCAAAGCTTGGGCCAGTGGACTCAGAAAGCATGGCTGGCCAGCAAGCCCCATGCCACTTCCCCAGGTGGGAAGCTGTGATGGCTGCTATATGTCTGTGGCCCAAATCAGTTCAGGCCTGTCAGGTACAGCCACAGCACACCCAGGAAATAGGCCCACACCCCTCCCTGAGCTCTGGGCCTGACCAGGATCACTGAGGGCACTAGGCTGGTAAGAGGGTGGTGGGGGGTAGGCTTGGGCTGGTGGATGCTGGGAGGTAAGCCCTGTGCCCCTTTCATGTGGGAAGTCACTGCAGGTGCCACCAGCCAGCTGCCCATGTACTCCTCAGACAGGGAGTTGGGGAGTGCCCATCAAGAAACCTGCTATGCATATTTTTGAATAAAAACATTCTCCCCCTCCCTCCGCCACGACTCTGTCTCTGGAGTTATTGCCTATGTGTGGCAAGCAGTAGGACCCCACTAGTTGTTCAGTTACAGCTTTGCTGGAGATTTTCTCATAGGTCATTTCCCATGTTGTATGTCCACTGATGTATGAGCTATTTTCCCATAGTCTTGCCAAGAGTGAGCTGTCAAAATCTTGGGTTTCCCAGTCGTATAGATTGGAAATATATCAGCGTTTTTTGAAGTTGCTTTTCTTCTATGATTTTCAGCATATTTTCTGGCAATAGTCCATTTATATATTTTGCCCATTTCTTCATGAACTTGGAATTTTTCTTTTCACATCTGTTAATACACACACGTGCGTGCACACACACACACCCTTTCAGGGCATAAGTTGCAAAGTTTATTCCTACTTTGTCATTTTTATTACTTTGCCTTTTTTATGATACAAAATTTTGTTTTTGTCAATTTCCCTCGATTGCATCTGGGTTTTGAATATTTCAGAAAGTTTGCCCAATGAAAGATAAAATAAAACACAGTATGTTAGAAGATACACTATGGAGAAAAACTAAGCAAGGAGTGGGGAAGGACTTCCATATTCAGCAGGGAGATGAGGATTGGGAGCTGAGAACAAGAAAGGGAGGAGGGGGCATATAGGAAAGAAAATGTATAAAGACTGGGGAAGAATAGCCAGGGATAGGAGGAGCATTGGGAGAGTGAGGGTACTTTGGAGGCCCTCACTGTCCTCCCTTGGGAGGAGGTGGAAAACCAGGTTCAAGATCACAAAGATGTCAAATCTGCCTAATTTATATGTTTACTACAACCCCACTAAACCTCCCATCTGTGTTTGTCTTTCTTCTGGAGCCAGGTAAGTTGGGTATAAAGTTCATTTCACTGGGAGAAAAAATTAGCAAGAGACAGGAAAACCTTGAATAATAAGACGGCAACCAGCCATTTCAGATATTAAAAGGTATTACAGCCCTGACCAGTGTGGCTAAGTTGGTTGGGCATTGCCCTGAAAAGCAAAAGGTTGCTGGTTTGATTCCTGGTCAGGGTACATGCCTGGATTGTGGACCAGGTCACCTGCTGGGGCATGTGCGAGAGGCAACCGATGGGTATTTCTCTCACATATCGATGTTTCTCTCCTTTCTCACTCCCTTCCCCTTTCTCTAAAAATAAATAAAAACAACTTAAGAAAAATAAAAATAAAAGGTATTACAAAGCCTGTATAATTAAAAAACCATGAGGATGGCACAAGTCAGACAATGGGCTTGGAGAGAACTCAGATATAGCTCAATTACTCATGGAAATTTAGTGTATGAAAAGGTAGCAACTCAAGTCACCCAAACTTTTACTTTATAAAGTTTAGGTGGGTAAAGTTTTACTTTATAAATTGAAGAATAATTCACACAGTAAAATGCACAGACCTAAAAAGTCCAGCTCAATGAGATCTGATGAATCTACATACCTGTGTAACCATACCACTCTCGCCATATACAGTTGACCCTTGAACAATATGGGTTTGAACTGTAGAGGTCCACTTATATGTGGATTTTTTCAATAAATACATATGGTTCTGTAAATGTACTTTCTCTTATGATTTTCTTAAGAACTTTTTTTCATAGCACACTTTATTGTAAGAATATAGTATATAATACATGAAACATACAAAATGTGTATTAATTGACTGTTTATGTTATCGGTAAGGCTTCTTTCCAGTCAAGAGCAGGCTATTAGTAAACGTTTTGGGGAGTCAAAAGTGAGTTATATGCAGATTTTCAATTGTGCCAGAGGGCTGGCATCCCTAACCCTAGCATTGTTCAAGGGCAACTGCAATACATTTCCAGCTCTAGAAAGTTTCCTTGTCTCATTTGTTGATTCCTGCCACCTATCACTCCTTCAGAGGCAACCACTACTCTATTTTAATAAGTGCTATCGGGATATATGTAAAATGCATCCATTTGCATAAATTCCAAATGACTCAGAGATTTAAATATATAAAAAGAAACTATATAAAAACTAGAAGACAATCTCATCTCATCTCTTAACCCCCCGCCCCCTACCCATACCCCTAGCTGCACTGCCTCCTTGTCCGGCACACTAGCTAGCTCATCTGCACTCAGGACCTTTGCATGCCTCTCACATATACCAAGGGTGACCGTTACTTTGCAGCCCTCTATTTAAAATCATACTGTCTATAGCCTGCTTTATTTTTCTTTATGGCAGTTATCTTCCAGCATACTAGATATTTTGCTTACTTGTCAGTGGTCTGTTTTGTTGTTCTAGAACTTCCTGGAAATAGGGACTTTTGTCCATTTTATTTAATACTGGATACTCAGTGTTTGCAGCAGGTACTAAATTACTTTAGGCTGAGGGTGAAAGTGATGAGGGGAGTTTCAGGGGGACCTCAGGCAGGGTCCAGAGTGCTGCATTCTTTCAGCTTTGGTGGGATGAAAGGACAGGAGTAAGGCAGTTGAGAGGAAAAGCAGAACAGCCTGTGAGAGGAATGGCAAGTGTGGGTAGAGACAATGGGTAACACACTGGAGGCAACGCTGTCTTCCATATTGGGGGAGTTGAGGTGTCAGGGTGAACAAATGTGAAGCTCTTAACTCCTATTTAAGTCCCCTCTTCATTTGCACAGCTGCTGCAGGGTGCCTTGGGCTTGGACCCAGCGCAGCTGCCACTGGGGCAGGGACAGGCCCTGGCAGAGCTCCCCAGAGAGGGCGACTTGGCCTGGCTGATCCCACCTGGGGAAAAGGATGATGTCAGAGGAAAGGCCTGGGTCTCCAGACCCTCACTGGCTTCCCCACACCATGCCTACCTGTCACCAGCCCCTTCCCCTTCCTCCCCCCAGCCCTGCGTTTGGTCTGTCACACTCAGCTTAGCCATACCTCCCATCACCAGTCCCCCACAACCCGCTCTCACCAGTCCCCCACAACCCTCTGCAACTCGGGGATTCGCTCCAGAGCTTGTTTCAGCAGGTCCTGCAGCTGCTTCAGAGCCTGCCCCAGATTCTCTTTCTGCTCCTTTTCCTGGGATGCACGGATCTGCAGCAACTCTGCAGGTTAGAAACCCATGAGGTAGCACTGGATCCTCTGGTTCACTGGTGCCTTTTATCCAATGGGTTACCAAATAAATCTTCACTCACCTAGTCTTGACCTCAGCATCTCTCCCAAACCTTTCCCTCCTCTCAGGGACAAGCCCACTGCCTCCTTCTTGCCCAACCTCATCCTGGATGCCTATCTCCCTCTGATAGACCATCAGTTCCCATGGCCTATCCCCCAGCTTCCTCCCCCTTCCCTACTCACCCATTCCCAGCCTCCCTCCCAGGCTCCAGGCCTCAGCCTCCCACTCTGCTCCATCTTCTACATGGCAGCCAAAGTGATTCCTGAAGCCTAAACCTGATCCTCTCCCTTTCTTATTTGGAATCCTCCAAGGCTCCCCCGTGACCCCAAGACAGAGTCCAAACTCCTTGCCATTGTATTCTTTCTGAGCAAAACTTCACCTACCCCCCAGTGACCACTTGAGACACCATCTTTCCTCCTGGTCGTCCTTCCCAGCATTCCTCACCCCACGGCTTCCCCCTCAGACTGCTGCAGCCCTTCGCTCCAGCAGTGTTTTCCCCTGGGGGCTGTGATTAGGTCTAGCCCCTCTCCAGACCCGAAACAGGCCCAGCCTAGAGCAAGTGCAGGCCTGCAGTGTGATCAGACTCCTTGGGCCTGAATCCTGACTCCAACCCATCCTTGCCTTGTGACACTGGGCATAACACTTGCCCTTTCTTCAGTCATTTCTGTGGTCAGGTGTCTTTATCTGAGCCACAGGCTAGTGGGGTGGGGGCAGATTGGAGCACTCTGGAGAGAGGACCCGGGACTTGCTGACAGGCCAAAGATTAGGGACCTGGGGGAAATTAAGGATGACTCCTGGGTTTCTGGCTTCAGCACCTGGATGAGGAGGGTAGGGTCATTTATTGAGGGACAGAAACCAGGCCTAAGAAAAACAAAACTGCTTTAGGAGCAGAGAGAACTAAGTCCCATTTAGGTATGTTCAGAATGCCCGTGAGGTGGCATGCAGATGTTACGGCTCCTGGGCCATTCTTGCACACTGCTCCCTGACCACCAGAGAGGGGAAGGCAGAAAGCCTGACACTCAAAGGCCTGAAAATGGTCTTTTCCTACTTTGCTGATGGCACCCTGATTCATAATTTTACCTCTTCCATCTATTTATATCTATTTATTCTTCGATTCTTTGCTCTTTTGGTTCCACCAAAGTGCTCTTTGGGACACTCCTGGGGCTGTACTGCCTTCGCTCTTCTCCCCATTGAGCTGTTGGGGGCAGCACCTGGTAGGTACCCAGTTGAGTGCTTGCTGGGGGAATCCAGCAATGATCAACTTCTGAGTTTCTGCTTCCTCATTGGTAAATTGAGTCTTACTTCTTTTGCTCATGATAAGGACTGAGGAGACTGCGCTAAAGCAGACAAAATGATCACAATCTCACCAGAGGCACAGAGGGCTGACTGCATGTCCTGCATTGTTCAATGCCCTGTTTGGGTCACCTAACTGTGTCTTCCTAGCAACTCTGTAAGGTTGCTTACTCCACCTTATGCTTATTCCACTGAGGAAAACAGGCACAGGGAGATCACACAACAAGAGGTAGTGCGGAGAAGAGAATCTAGGTAGTTTAACTCTATAGCCCAGCTTTTAACTGCTCAAGTATACTATTGGATGGTGACAAATGAACACTTGGCAATTAGTGGGCCTTGTGGTTAGGATCAAAGACCCACCAGGAATCAGACTGCCTGGATTTAAATCCTAGCTCTGCCATCTTGGTAGCTCCCAGGCCCTCTGTGTCCAGGTGCCTCTCTTGTAAAAGGGAGAAAGGCAGCACTAATGCCCTGGGGCTGCAGTGCAGAAGAAAACAGTGAACGTGCTTAAAGCACTCGATGATCAGAAGGCTCTGTGTCAGCAATGGATGTCCTCTGTGGTTAGTTTTGGAGGCTGATGGTCCTGGGAATGGGCAGGAATGCTAGGTAGAAGCAAGGCAGGCCTACCCTGGGTGGATGGACCTGGCGGCAGGCTGGTCTTCATGTGGAGCTGATTCCAGCACCGGAGACTCCACTGGTCCTGGAAGAACAGAAGGTCCTGGCGAAGAGAGGCAGCCTTTGGGAGTAGCAGCTCTGAAGCCTTGAGGGAAGGGAAAAGGACAATCATTTCAGCTGGGGGTAGGGACAGAAAGATAGTTCCTAGGGGAGAGGCACTCACCTTCCCTGTAGGCAGCCCCAGCTTGTGGCTAAGCACTATGAGGCTGGAGCCCCTTGAGGACGCAGGATGAAGCTGGTGGATGGATGGCAGGATTGTGGGCAGGGGCTGCAGTCTGGGGGGAAAGTCCAGGTTGGATGCACTGAGAGGGAGTCTTGGGTTGAAGAGGCTCTGGGGGCAGAGGGGTGGTCTTGGGAGGTCCAGGAACTTGGAAGTGGGTCTGGTGACTAGAATTCCAGAGTGGGGCTGAACACCTACCTGAGGGTGAGATCTGGTAGCCTGGGAACACTGGGGTCTGGTATTATTTCTTTGGAGTGGGACAGTCAATTGAACAAGGGTATATAGGGGATGGCACTAGTCTCACCCTCCAGGCCTGTGCCGCAGCTGGGTGCCCAGCAGGTGGGACAGGTGCTGGGCCTCCTTCTCTAGACAGTGAAGCAGCTCCTGGCTCAGTGGTGTCACCGCCTCAGATGTGGGGACGACTTTTCGCTGAACCAGAGCCAACAGCTTTGGAGAAGGAAAAGGATGAGAGGGGCAGCCTGAGGTTACCCAACCCCATCCCTAGGAGACCTGGCCCTGCCCAGACCTCACTCCAAATCCCAACTCACCTCCCCTGGGCTCTGGTACAGGTGCGTCTTGCTGGCTGAGTTGCCCTTGACGAGCAGGCGAACCTGTTCTTGTGTCTCCCCCTGGACAACCAGCAGGCCATCAAGACAGGCCGTTTTCCTTCCCAATGCCCAGCCTGTGTCCCTGCTCTCCCCTTTCCACAGGTCTGCTTCCTCTTGGGAGACTCACCCTGGGCCTCTGCCCTGACCAGGAAGCCCAGTTCTAGATCATAAGGCTCCCAGACTCACTTTGACCTTCCATGCAGCCCTGCCATTTCTCCCAGAGCCTGCTTCTTACCACCAGCTGGCGCCAGCGCAGGATTCGTTGCTGTTTGGCCTGTAGCTCCTGCAGCAGAAGTTGCCGCTGTCCAGCTGCCTCCTCCAGCTCCTGGATCTGGGCACACAGGGCTTTGAGCTCTGCCCACAGGCCACAGTCTCGGAGCCCCAGCACCAACGCTTGCCTGGGGGACAAGCAGAAGAGAGCAATGGGGAGGAAGGTGACTAAGACTCACAGTGGAGGAGGAGAGATGAGATCTGCAAGGACGCACAAGGAGCCACAAGTGCACAGAGAGCAAGGAGGCAGAGATGAGAGCCACGAGGGCAGAAAAAGTCCAATATCCTGAGACCCCAGGGAGAGAGATGGCCTAGAGGCCTCTGGCCAGGGAGCCTCTCACCTCTTGCTTGATCCCAGGGTACATCTTTCTACTTCCTCCATCAGGCTCTGGAGGCGCCGGGTCAGGATTTGATGCTCCTTCAGGAGGGGGCCCCGCTGGGTGAGCAGCACACCCACAGCTTGCCAGGCCTCCTGGGGCAGGGGTACAAAGTCAGGGTGGCCATTGTCGCTGGGGGTGAGGGGACTGAGTGAGTCTTGGGATGGGAAGGGGACAGAGTCTGGGAAGGGTGCCTGGGGGTCACCTGGATGAGATGCACCACGGATGGCAGGGCCTGGCTGGCGTGTGGCTGGCCTGGTGCTTGGGACCTGGAGGTGGGGTGAAACTGCTGAGGGAGGAGCCCTGTCCCCTTGCCGGACCCTTGAGAGTAGTAAGCATCAGCCCACCTGAGTTTGGTCCTTGGATTTCAGTTCTGTCCCTATCAGCAGATCACTGTGCCTGGTCCCAGCCCTGACCCAGCTTACCCAGCCACCTGCCCTACCTGACTATGGGAGTACTCTACTACACACCTGGCTATCTCTGTATTTCGGAGCCTTTCTGGACTGCACAGGGACCGAATCTCTGCCTCCCGTTCTGCAGCCAGGTGTTCCAGGGCGGCCAAGATGTGGCCTGGAGGGTGGTTTGTCAGCAGATTCTGATGAGGGAAGGGGTGAAGTCAGGGTAGGATTGGGGCAGGGGATCACATGAGGATGGAGCAGGGTGAAGAATCAGGTCCTGGTACTCTGCGGTTTGATCATGGAGCACTGGGTGCGGTCTTTCCTGAGAGCCCCTCTTACCTCCACTGAGCTAAGCCACTGCTGGTAGGAAGTTCCAAAGTGGTCTTCTTGAGGGGTTCTGTGGGGTTGTGGGATGGGGAAGAGAATGTTACAAGACAACCAATTCTTCCCCTAATGATTACCACCACCTTACAAAGCAGGAGCTGTCTCTGTCCCCAGCTTACAGACGAAGAAGCCAAGTTCATCTATGCTTGCTAGACTTGACTTCCCTTCTTATACAACTTGCTGGCCACGGGCCCTTTCACATGTGCTGCTTGCTTGGAACGCCCTCTCAACCTTTTACCTTTGCTAAGCCTCCTCACCAGAAAACCCATCCTTCCTGCTCTTAGCTGGGTAGAGTTTCTCCTCTCCAGTACCAAGAGCCTCTGATGTTTCCCCACCCCCCAAGAGCCCTAACCATCTGTGTTGTCACTGTCTGCGATGGGTTTGTCTCTACCTCTTCCCAGCCTGGGAGCCCTGTCAGGGCAGGCCCTGGGGCTGACACAGATCAGAGGCCCAATGTCTGAGGAATTAACAGACAAGCAACTCTTCCCAAAGCCCAGGTTCTTTGCAGGGTTTCTGAGGACTGGGTGACACTCACGGGATGCTGCCTCTTTTGGCCTGAGGAGTCAGGAGGTTCTGCAGGAACTGGCTTCGGAGGGCACAGGCTGTTCGGACATCACTCTGGGAGGAGGATGGGGCATTAAGGGGAACTAGGGGCCTCCACCTGACCCCAGGCCTGCCCCTCCCCTCATGGCCCAGGACTCTTACCAGGACCACAGGCTCCAGGCTCAGGGTTGCTGATGTCAAGCGTCCAAAGGTCACATCCATTTTAGCCTTCCTGGAGAGAGGAGTGTAGTTGGGGCAGGGGTCCCTGGAAGGAGCTGGAGAACAGATGTCTGTGTCCCCCCCGCTGCTTCCAGCAGAGCTAGTCACAGGAATCACTGAGCCTGAATCTCAGGGGCCACCTCCAAAATTAGGCCACTGTTATCTCCTGGCTGGATGATTCTATTAGCCTCCTCGCTGGTCTCCCTGCTCTTGCTCTGTGCAGTCTGTTCTCTACCCAGTAGTTAAGCGATCCTGATAAAACCTCAGACAGATCATGTCATTGTTCTGCTCAAAATCCTCATAAACAATGTGCTATGTTCTCATCACCCACAGAATAACGGGTAATAGAAACTCTTCTAATAAGTGATTTAACTCACTTATCATATCTACCATATAAAGTAGGTATTATTAACTCCATTGCATAGATCTTAGAAACTGAGGCATAAAATTTGCCTAAGGTCACACAGCTGTAAGTGGTCAAACCAGGACATGAACTCAGCCTGAGAATTCCAGTGCCCCTGCGGTGCTACGTCCACCTCTCCAAGCTTACCTCCTCATGCTCTCCCTTTTGCCTATGAAACTTAGGCTGAATTGCCCTCCTGGCTGTTCTTCCCATACGTCAAGCTCAGGGCCTCTGCCCTTGCTGTCTGTCTTCATGGTAATTCCTTCTCCAACTCACAGGTTACCTCCTCAGAGAGGCCTTCTCTGACCATCCTACCTAGAGGAGCGTCTCCTTCTATTGTATCGCCTTTTCTTCATAGCACACATCTCTACCAGCAATTAGAGGGTTTGTTTGCTTTCTAGTTTATCATCTGTCTCCTCTGCATCAGAATGTAAACTCCATGAGGGCAGGGTTGTCTTATTGTTTACTGTTCTGTCCCAGCAGCGGTATTCTAGATATATAGGTGCTACCATTCTAGGCACAAATATAGGTAGCTGAGATAACAAAACTTCCCTGGTCTCATGGACTTTAAATCCTAAAGAGTGGAGCTCAGAACTCGAACTCAAGAAGGGGTCAGGGCAGAGCACTGAGGTTTCTGAGGAAAACACCTCTCCATTTAGCCTGGTGAAGGAGGGCCCTGGCCTACCTCTCTATGTCCTGCAGCTGCCTGAGCTGATTCTGTAGCCACTGCATGGGATGTTGGAGTCCACGCTGCTGTCTTCTCATGGCCCCAGCTTGGGCCCGGAGGAGAAGAGCACGCCGCTGGGTGTCTCGCATGCTCTGCAGCGCCTGCTCCATGGCCATGTCTGTGTGAGGAACAGGCGTGGCCATGAGTACCTCTGCAACATCCGTTCTGATGCCCATCTGTCCAGCCCCGTGAGTCACCCTGAGCCTCCGTCTCCTCATCCATCAGCTCCAAGGTCTGGTCTAACTCCTGGATCTCTGCCCGTAGGCGGGCAACAGCAGCTTCCAGCTCGAACTTCCGACAGGCCTGGTGGGATCAGGTACAGGGTCAGATAAATGGCCTGGCTGTGGCTCAGCCTGGCCTGACTGTCCTTTGTGGAGCACCAGTCTCTTCACCTGCCCAGCGGGGTGGCAGAAGATTTTTCCTAGGCAGTTAACTGTGTCTGAACCTCTAGGCCCAGAGGAGCACTAGGTGCTATCCTGGCCCCCCTCCGTCCTCCTGGCATTATATCACCCTCCTAACCTGTTTCCTGTCTCTGCATTGATGACACCATATCTCTGTCCCAGTCTTTATCTCCTTATAAGCCCCTCATCTAGAAGTCCTGAGGTCTTCTGGAAGCATTCCCCTATACGTCACCTGGACCGCTTGCACATACTGAGTCCCACCGGCCCCAGTACCACTCTCCCATCTACCCTCACCATATTTGGTGGCTCATATCTACGTCTTCCCCTCTCCGCCAGTCCATCCTGTGTCCCCTTGGACTGCACATCCTATGAATGCATGGGTCAAGGCTGTTTTGTGGTGCAGTACCCCCATTATCACCCAACACAAGGCTGAGCCAAGAGCAGAAGATCTACAAGTCCTCTTTTTGGATGAAAGAAAATCTTGTAGCACATGCTCTCACCTCTGGACTGGACTGGTGGCCATACCTGAGGAAATGAGACCAGAGTTAAGAGGATGACAGAGGCTTCCAGAAGCTGTGTGGCTGTGGGTGGGGCTGGACAGGACTGGGGAAGATAGAAAGGGATAGCTTTGAGGACCAGTTACCAGAGTAGGTTTCCCCGGATCTTCTTGACGTTCCTACATTGGACAGGTAGGAGGAAGAGGAGTTACTGTGGAACTCGCCTGTGTCCCCTCCCCTGCCACAGCCTCCCTTATGCAGTCAGGCTCACCTCTGGCTGTGCACATGCCGTAAGACATAGGCCCAGATGTCAGCCCCCTGGCCCAGACACAGCCTGTGGGGACAGCATATAAGGGTATGCCTGGGGTATCACAGGGTGGAGGATCTTCATTCCCAGGGTGGTGGTGGGGGAGAAAGTCTTTACTAGGGAATTCTTATTTCCAGGGGCAGGGGAGGAAGGATTCATATTTTTGGGGTCACGATATTCTTTCCTGGGTAGGTCAGGGAGATGGTGAGACTGTCACTGGGCGTGGGGGTAGTCTTATTCCCCGGTGGGGTGCTTCCTTTGGGTGGGGGGAGGTTATTTCCAGTCACTTCCAGAGGGGGGGATGACGGGTATACTGCCAGGAAGTGCTCTGTCATTAAAGTTTGTGAGCTATCACTCCTACAGATTTAATTTCCAGTGGGGTGGGGTCCTCGCTGGCTGGACTGGCTGGTGAGTGGGCAGCTGCTGCAAGGGCGGCCTTCCTTACCCAGGAGATCCTATTTACATATGGGAAGAGGGCTTTAGCAACTCGTGGAAGACTCTCACTCGTGCCAAGACCCTCTGGGTGCCCTTGCGGGGTGGGGGTGGAGTGTGAGGGTTACTGCCAGAACGTCCTCACTCAGATGCAGTGTCCTATTCCTGGGTATACTACGCGGGGTGAGGGCGCGCCCTTGGAGGTCTCACTGGCGCGGAGGAGGAGGAAGGTGCGTCTTCAGTAAAGACGAGGTTCGCACTCCGGAACACACTCTCTAAGCTGGGGAACCCTCACTCCCGAACGATCCCCACCTGCGCAGGGTCGACTCCGGGGCCCGGGCTGCCTCCGGCGCCTCCATCTCTTCCACCGCCCAGCAAACCAATTCCCGCGCTTGCTGCACAAACTCCATGACGGTGCCGCGGCCTCTGCCACCTCCCACAGCGTTTGAGTGGCGCCCGCCTCTGACGTCACCAGAGCGCGCGCCGACAGTGACCTGCTCGGTAGCCAGGCAAACCAGGGCCTCCTGGCTTTGCAGGGTCTCGGAGGTAGCTTGCACCTCTCACTCCTCCACGATGGATCCCTTTGAATGAAGATGAAAGGGGTGTGAAAAAACTATGGGACCCACTTGCTTTCTGCGTACTCCCTCTCACTACCAGCTGACTCCTAAGAGGCAAAAGGTTTTTAATGCCTCGCTTCATTTTCTTGACAAAATGGGACTTTCATTTTAGGAGAATGAGGGCCAAGCGAGGAGATGCCAAACTTACAGCTCTTTAATTCCAGAAACAGGGTATCTCAGGTCTGAGTGAAGGATAGAGGGCAGATACCATGACCCTAATATAGCCCTGGCATTCTTTCTTTCAGAGTCCTTTGTCCTTACCATTCCGTCACATTTATGAGCCAGCCCTGTGCAGGAGACACAGCGGTGGCTGAGACAGTCCCAGTCTTCATGCAATGGCACTCACAGTTCAGTGGGGGAATAGATGCATCATCAGGTAGGGAGGCAACAGGGGTGGGTCAATTTGGGATACAGAAAGTGCGAGAGGTCTGTGGGGTGCCTCAGAAGGCACTGGGTACTAGGCCTGGAGTTCTGGAGAGCCCATTTGGCCTCTGAGCCATGGAAAATTGCAACATTCAGGGACCTTTCATTCGACATGCTTGCCTAGGTCACACTCTGTCCTTAGTGTCTGATACAGATCCTGATTCTCTAAAAAGTTGCTGAAAAAACAAATGGAGGGGAGGGAGAGTTGGTGGGGCGACACTAAAGCTGGGAACCCAGGGAGGAGGGTGGAGCAGGATGAGGAGTAGGGGGCATGGAGATTGTTGGTCCACGGTAGCACAGGTCCACAGGGTACAGTGGAGCAGAGAGGAGAAGACAGTGGATGGGGTTGATTGGCTTTAGGGGAGGTGGGTGGTAACCACCATGAGGTCAAGGGCTCTGGGCTAGGGATTGGATGGAGCAGACCTGTAAAAAGGTCATGAAAGAAGGGGAAGTGTTGGGGGAGGTGCTGTTAACAATGTGGGACTCTATCCATATGAGGAACCAAGAATACATCCTGAGTCTCTGGCCCAGGGACAAGGGGACCATGGGATCATTATTGAGATAACAGGTTTTGAAGAGAAGCTGTGTCCAGCTTTCAAAGCTTCATAAGGGCAGAGAAGCAGAAGAGGGTGCCAGGGACTGATGTAACCCAGGTGGGCTTCCTGGAAGAAAGATTAACAGCTGCTATTCCATGATGCCTAATTTCTCAACAGCTGTCATTTCTCTCAAACGTCTCTAGTCTTCTGCCCCTTGTGGAGTATTTTTCTACTTAAACATCACTGGACAGCATATCTGCCACGAGTTTATGAGTCTTTCAAGGGGCTTTTAAAAATTATTGGCTGTTAAGAGAATGAAAAAAGTCACAGACTGGGGTAAAATATTTGCAAAACATATCTGATGATGAACCTGGATCCAAAATATACAAAGAACTCTTCAAACTCAACCATAAGATAATAAATAATCCAATTAAAAGTGGACAAAAGTTATGAACAGATGTCTCACCAAAGAAGATATACAGATGGCAAAGAAACATCTGAAAAATTGATCAATATCATATGTTATCAGGGAATTGCAGATCAAAACAATGATGGAAAATGTCTACATGTCCACTAAAATGTCTAAAATCCAAAATAACAACACTAAATGCTTTTGAGGCTGTGAAACAAGAGAACTCTCATTAGATGGGAATGCAAAATAATACAGCCACTTTGGAAGGCAATCTGAATAGTCAATGTGCTGTTTGATTCCATTTATATGGCATTCTGGAAAAGGCAAAATAGAGATCAGTAAAAAATATCTGTGATTGCCAGAGGAATCATGGGATGGGGTCAGGATGAAGAGGTGAAGCAAAGAACATTTTCAGATGAGTGAAACTATTTTGTGTGATATTGTAATGGTGGATACACCACATTATGCATTTGTAAAAAGACATAGGACTGTACAACACAGAGTGAGCCCTAATGTAAGATATGGATTTAATTAGTAGTAATGTTTCACTGTTGGTCATCAGTTGTAACAAAGGTGCAATACTTCTGCAACTCTAAAAAAATCCACTCAAGGGTTATTAGACTAAGATACCTAAGAGAGAGAAGAGCTGGTCATGTGACCATCTCCCCAGCAGTCACTCAACATCTTCTCACTATTCTCCAGTTTCTGTGTAGTGGCTTTGTGATGCATGTCAGCTTGACTAGAGTGAATTAACTATATCCCAGAATTACCTTCTCTCTGTGTGTCCAAACAGGACAGGCCAACAGATTCTTGGGCAAGATTTAGAGGTCAGAGGTAGAGCAGCTGCCGTTTTGTAGATTACACATGTTGTCTGGGTGGCTGGCTGCTGACTCATCATTTTTGCATAGGGCAGCAGCCAGGCCAACGATTATTCCCCCTTCTCCTGGATCTTCCTTCAACTTCTCCAACTCCTGGGCCAGGTGTGTGTTTAATCTATGATGAAGGATGCCATCTTCTCTTGTGTATGCTCATACCATCAAGGGCAAAAGTAAGTTTATTCCAGCTTGCGCTAGCTTTCCTGCACTTTACACACACAAAACAACAACTCTGTATTGTCAAGTTACCCACACATACTGAGTAAAAGTGAAAAATGCACACAGGAGTGATTCATGGAACTTGAGTTCAGGGACAGAAGGAGGGAGAAAGGGAACAGAGAAGAGGGGCCAGGGGCTTAATCTGTATTTATAGTATTTTATTTCTAGGAAGGAGAGATCTGATGCAGATATAAGAAAATGTTTACATCTGTTAAATCTGGATATAACATGGGGGCCAGTTAGACTATGTTTCAGTATAGTCTGTAGATTTGAAAGATTTTTAAAAACAGGCTTAATTTATTTTATTTTTCTTGTGTAAAATTATGTGGTGGCCACATCTGGAGCCTGGGTCCTCTGCACAGAAACTCTGCTGGGGGTCTTTACAAGATAGTCAGTGAATTCCTGATAGGAGGGCTGGGTGAACACGATCTCTTTCCAGGCGTCAGGGATGAGATAGCTGTAGGTCTTGGCGATGTCATCAAAGATGGCCTTGGAAAAGTTGCCCAAGGTGGTAGTGCAGCCCCTGGCTGAGAGGTTGCAGTTGTTGACACCGGCCATTAGCAGCAGCTTCTTGGGCCCAGGGACTGAGACAATACCAGTACCCCTGGGGGCAGGGATGAGACACTCCAGCACAGGGACACAGCAGCTGTCACCTTGTAAGGGACAGTGTGGGTCTTGCCAATCTTGTTCCTCCAATAACCTCGCTGCACAGGTCCAACTGAGAACTTGGGCAGGATGATGGCCGCTGATGGAGGGCAGTGGCTACTTCCTTGAATCACTTGAACCTGGTCCTCTGGCCAGATCAGGTCTGCTTTTGCACGGGCGTAATCTTCAAAACCTCCTTCTTGAGGGATGTCTCCAGGGAAGTCAATGACTCCTTGATGAGCAGGGAGAAGGGACAGATCCTCTCCAGGGATTCGACCTTCATGTCCTTGGCCAGGCAGCCCAGCTTGATCACAGGGATCCACTCCTGGTCCTTGGCTTTGCCTCTGTGAGTACCATGGCCTCAGCCGAGCCCCGACCACAGCCATGACCTTTGTTCTGGATGCTGCTGCCAAATCCTTCATGGAAGCTGCCACAGCTTCCCATTCGAGGGACCCCAGCGCTCCAGGCCCTCCTGCAGCATGAGTTCCATCATCATCTGGTGTGTCTTTGAAGCAGAAGCAGGTTTGGAATCTTTATCTAAATAGATTAAGAAATTAAAGTTTTTGAAAAGTGGGAAAGAACGTTCTGGTGGTTCTGTGGCGATTGGATCGTAGGAAGAGTCCGAGGCTGGGGCAGGGGACCAGAACAGTGATGACGGGATTAAAGCGTAGCAGGGGGCAGGTGAGAGAGATGATGAGGCCGAGTGGAGGGAACTTATCCATAGGTTAAAACTGTTCCAGGGAGGAGAGCAGTGTTCTCATTGGGGCAGTACCTCCCTTCCATTTCTGGGGTTTTATTCTTATAGATTTGATTCCTGTGCTCCTACCTCAATCACCCTTATTTCTTATCTTTAATAGCTATCTTGTCCTCAGATGTGCCCTCCCAGGAAAGCCTCTGCCCCACCTCCTCCACGTTTGTTGGATTACCGCCTTTGGACTCAGAGTTAAACTTCTTTTTGGATTATGACTGTCTGAAAACCCAACTCAAAGTAGTTTTTTCCCTCCTAAACAAGAAATATCTTAGCTGACATGGTTAAAAGAAAACTGGTTCAGGTGAGATGTGATACAGCAGCTCAAACACTGGAAAGCAGTTCTAATGAGCAAAGCCCCTGCAGTCGGACCAGTAAGGTTTGAATTCTAATTCCACCACTCACAATCTGGATAACTTGGACAAGTCTCTCGATCTTTCTGGCTTCAGTTTTTGCACTTATGAATCAGGGACAGTAACACCTACTTTTCAGTGTTGCAGCATTTAAATGAGATAATATGCATATGCTCTTTGAACAGTGTTTGAACACAATTTACTGTTCAATGACTATCATAGTGATGATGCTGGTGATGTTACTGAGGACCCAGCTTCCAGTTCCTTCACTTAAAAAAATTGGCACACATTATGTATATCGTATTTTTTCCATTACCATTTATTCCCCTTATAACCTCCTTCCCCCACAATGACCACACTGCTGTCTGCGTCCATGTGTCCTTTTTCCTTTTTGCTTGTCCCTCCACCCGCTAACCACCCCCACCCCAGAGCTGTCAGCCTGCTCTCTATGTATGAGTCTGCCTCTATTTTGCTTGTTAGTTCAGTTTGCTCATTAGATTCAGCATATGAGTGAAATCATATGGTATTTGCCTTTCTCTGACTGGCTTATGTCACTTTGCATAATGTTCTTCATGTCCATCCATGCTG